GTCTACAAGATTGATGGGATACTGGCGAGGAGGAGGAGGATCAGGGCTGTGAGATTGGTTGAATGAGAGGAACGCTAACCTGTCTGTGTGCGTGTCGACATTGCGCATTGATGATCGGCTTATTAAGTTGTCTGCGCTGAGTAGGCACCATGATGAGATCTGTTCATTGTAAGTGTATGTCAGAGAAGATTGTCTGCTGACGTGGCAAGTGGGAGATGCCCGAAGAAGAAGTGGGCCTGAGAGGGAGATCTATCTGTGCTATGTTGACGGACACTTTCTCTTCCACCCTCTAAGTCTGATCTCCCTCCCATCAGCCTCTTCTCTGGTGACTTGACATTGGACTACATGATTTCTTGTACGATTTCAGAGAAATTGTAACTGCGCTGAGACATTCTCTACTTTGTAATGACCTGACCAAACACAGACTGAGACACACAGCCGATTTCTGAGTTCTGCTCATGGAATGAATGCCTGGCCAAGTTTCCCACTTGTTACTGAGTTCTCTACGTCTGTGACTGTGCACGCTTGCTGGTCTACATGTCTGTCACGAGTGTTTGTCGGCTTGAGTGTGTGTGTGACCAGCAAGGGCACTTGTTCGTTCAGTGGGCCTGAAGGGCCGGTACTTACCTGTGGCCGTGACATTGAGGATTGCAGCAGGGGAAAACACTCAAGTGGCGGGAAAGAGGCCCGCGACACTTCAAGCAGCAGAAAACACTCAAGTAGCAGGTAGGTCGGTACCACATCAGGTAGACGTAGATGTGCCGGGTACTCGAGGCCGAGCAGAAGAAGACAAAAGTTGGCATTTTTAGAGGCCCATTAGTTGTAGGCTAGGTCTAGGCGGGTACCAGTCCAACCAGTCTGAGTTAGGGCCTGTACGGGCAATATCAGAGTCTGCAATAATGTTTCCCTCCAAAAGGGAGGAGGTACCGGTTGCTTGGAGGCCGCGCGGCCTAGGAAGTCACTCGCCAAGAGGCAAGCAGGCCGCTATATCTCCAGGAGGAGCCAGTTGCCCCTCCTCATTGTCGGTGTGCAAGTTTGGCGACACACTGGTTGGAGCGCTGGCTGGAGCAGCGCTAGCACTCAGCTGCGCTGCTGGGGAAGGAGCAAAGACACGGAGGAGGAAGCAGGCCAGGACTAGGAAGGGGAGCACCAGAGGTACTTACCTGGCTATGGTGGTTGCCATCTTCATCACCTTGGCGGGCGCCGCAGCAGGAAGCCCAGTTGGGGCAGAGCTACACCAAGAAGCTTTGAGTCAAAGTCAGGCACAGCGGCCTGAGCTAGAGCAGCCATAGCTGCTTTGTGTTGTCCTTTGTACAGCAGGGCGATGCCCTGGTAGTCCGCCATAGCCTCGGCCTATGACGAAGAGAGAGAGAGAGGGGCGTCCATGGCTATGGTGGACCTCAAGTGATACCTCCAGTAGAAGAGGGACTCAGACATTGATTCTGGGTCAGCCATTCAACATTGTGATTATTATTCTTGTTTGGAATAAGAGGGGAAGAGATAAGGAGGAGAGTGGTTGGCGAAGAAGAAGAGCATTATCATTGGTCTATGTTGTACATCATTTTTTTCTTCTGTAATGAACCCAGTCTGATAGGTACTCAGAAGTCGTCAAACAACAGTAGTCTCATTGTCTGCATCATAGTCTCCGAATCGTGAAGTGGTATCTCAAACAGTATCTTATTACCCAACAAAAGAAGAGAGTGGAGAAGAGAGATCACACAGTAATAAACCCTTCAGATCCCTCTCCTTCTCCGGGCTTCTACCCACTCCACATCATCAATGATAACAAGTATATTCTTGATCACACACAATAGTGCCACGTGGCACTTTATCTCATGAAGACTCCGAAGACACAGCAGATTTCCAGTGACGACGTCAACCTCAGGTGTTACATGCTGCACCTGCAACAGGCTGCACGGGCGATTTCCAGGCCCGTGACGTTTTCAAGCCAAAAGCCTGAAAACAAGGGCCTACAGGCCCTGTGTCGTTTCAGCC